AAAGTGACCCGATCATGCTGATTTTCGAACTTGACCTGCGTATTATGAATATTCATCAGTTCTGTAAGTTTCAAGTTAAAAGGTTAAATGGTTTTCCACTTATTGTGTTATCGGTGCTGCATATATGCTGAAAAAAGTGAAAAAACAGCATAAATTCCCTAAAAGTGACCCGATCATGCTGATTTTCGAACTTGACCTGCGTATTATGAATATTTATCAGTTCTGTAAGTTTCAAGTCAAAAGGTAAAATGGTTTTCCACTTATCGTGTTATCAGTGCTGCATATATGCTGAAAAAAGTGAAAAAACAGCATAAATTCCCTAAAAGTGACCCGATCATGCTGATTTTCGAACTTGACCTGCGTATTATGAACTTTCATCAGTTCTGCAAGTTTCAAGTCAAAAGGTAAAATACTTTTCCACTTATCATGTTATCGGTAAAAGTGCACGGCGACGGCGACGACAGCGACGACAGACGCAGATGATGGCTATATGTACAGACACATCTGTGTCTGTACATAAAAAGAGCCCAAGCATCAGTGAAAATATTCCATTAGTTTTTCTCTGAAATTTTGGTAATCATTTCACAGTGCCATTGAAATAAAAGTTTAACACATCTGTCAATTCTTATTGTTGATATGATTAATTACAGTATTGTATTACTGTATCATTCCACTGAGAATTGAAACAAAAGTTAGCCTCTTTCACTGTCACTGTCATGCACGAAATCACCACCTTTAATCAAAACAAAATCTGAAAATAACTCTGGAATAACTACATTTTCTATTTGGAAATTCTGCATCATTTATTAATGCTTTTGTTCCTCAGAAAAAAAAAAATCAATATGGTAAACAAATACTGAAACAATTTTCTATTATTAGTATGATCTCTAGCACAACTGCGATCAATCTTTTAAGTATCTCCCCTTTATAGCTACCCATATCTGAAACAAATATTGAGATTAATCCAGAGTTCATTGTTCTAATAGTTGATTCCTGTGTGAAAAGCATTATTCTTCTCTGAGATTTCACTTTTATTCTCTAGAACAATAAAAACGTGAGGCATGCCTACATAAAATATCACTGCACTGTAAGTAATCATGAATGAAAACAAATATTTTGCACGAATTTGCATCAATCAACATATGGAATAGAGCACTACGAAGCTATCTAAATACAATGTAATATGGAAAACGAAAACGTCTTTGACATTTAACAGTATGTTGTTAGCTATCTTTTACATTTATCTGAAATAATTATGAAAAAAGTCAATATCTGAAGCACCCATTGAAACTTGAACATAGCACTCTGATGTCCCATCTAGTAGGTGTTAAGTACCTTTAATGACTGTCTCTCTGGGAGGTTTGGCTATTATCTCATAGGAATTATCAAAACATTAAAGATTATGTTACATAAACACATTACAGTATGATTGCAAGCAACATTATCAGATAATTAATCTCTTTGTAAGTGCACTTTGTTTCTATGAAACTCCATTAATACAACAAATGTTGAACCAAAGCTCTGTTTGATCTTGACTGGATTGACTGTTCAATATTTCTGTTATCTTAGTCTCAGTTCATATGGTCTATGACTACAACAAGACCTTACTGTACTGTAGAATGTCTTGGGTATGTGGACATTGTCCATGGCCATGATGAGGTACTTCAGAAATGAAGACACGAGTGCATGTGTAGGATCTAGGAAAGTGAAACGGGAAGGGGGGGGGGGGGGGGAGTGAAATGTTCAGTCAGAATAGTAATCAGTCACAGAGGGTAGTCACAGAGACTGACAGAGGTATAAAAAATAGCAATAATATCCTTATATCCATAATATATTATTTGTCCATCATTTCTAGTATTTCAATAAGACATTTTGATGAAATTATTGATAATACCCTATGTGGTATTTTGATGAAATTATTTCTAATACTCTATGTGGTATTTTGATGAAATTATTTCTAATACTCTATGCTGACATTTTGATAAAATAACTACCCTCAGCTCCTAAAAAGTACATCTTAACACAAGCTGATAACCAAAGGGATACATGGAACCACACACATTTAGCCATATGGAGAAAAATATTGATTTCAAGATGTGTATATCTTCAGTGCATTTCATCAAAGTATGAAATGCCACAGAGTGATGCAGTCAGCGAAATAAGCGGTTGTCCGATTGCCCGGGACAACTAAAAAGCGTGTCGGGCAACTTAAAATTACGAAGTTGTTGTCCGGTCGGGCAACTGAATAATTTATGGACATAAAGAGTAAACCTCAAGATTTCAATCTCAAAATTTAGCTTAACCTAAGTCGTTATGTTTCCCACAAGATTCACTGTCGCAGTAACCGACCTGTTGACTTCGCCGTGTTTTCGCAGAATCTCCATTACTATTATTAGATCTACAGTTATTTATAGCTGGTCGTTTTATGAAGCAGATAGGGACAGGAAGATGACGTAATGCCTGGGGAATGGGGGTGTCATGTGTGCCGCTTTTCATTGGTTGAAATGAAACAATGGCGGACATTACTTCAAAATAATGGCGCTTCTGTCTACCACGTGTTTCTCTTTCCAACTTTCGTCATGGAGAAGTTTCTGAAATATTTTGACGGTGCAAAGCCCGGATAAAGGTTACCCTAACAAACAGCTGAGCCAGAAATGTCAAAGAAAAAGAAATTATACGAAATTAAACAGATAAACGCCAAAGAGGATTTCTACCGTCACGGCAATCGGGGCGCACTTGGCTTGTTTTTGACAGCATAGCTCAGCATGCAAAGCATGCTATCAAGGAGATTCTTCACCTTTCGTTCAAGGCAAAACCTTACTACGATTAGATGGCATTAAGAAACACGAGTCCTCAGAGCCGCACGTCAAAGCGACGGCACAAGTGCCGGCGGTTCCTGCTAATCAATGTGTTGCGGCAGACTGCTTGCATCGGCTGCAGAACAGGCAGAATCTGAACGTATAGTTTTAATGAGAACATGTAAGTTTCATTTTTTTTTTTTTTTTTTTTACCTGTTCTTGGTTTCTGCTTTTAAGTATTTAAGTTCTTTTTAATAAAATGTAAAAGTGAAATTCTGATGACGATTGATTTGTTTTTAGACAAGCACTTTTTCTGGAAAGAGAAGAATTAGAAGTCTTCCAATTTTTTTTTTTTTCATTTTTATGGTACTGTGTGATATTTTATATTGAATTATTTATTTGTCTTTTCTAGAAGGAGGTGTAACATTTTATTTGTCTTAAGCGACCACCTCTTATTTTACAATGTTGTAAGCGACTTGAATAATACACGTGTGTTCCAGCATGGCGGCTTACAGAGTTAGCACGTTTATGTTACATGGTGTCAGAAGTTAAACTTTTCAAGCTATTAGTGAGTCCTTACACATGCCACATAACATTTTTAATTGTGCGAGACACTAATTAAAATGGCGTATGCATTCGAGCAACCCAGTTTCGATTGGGAGTCTAAAAATTTGTACTTGGAATTTACTCGATTCCGACAGCATGCTGAGCTCGTTTTCAAGGGTCCACTATCACAAACAGATGATAAGATAAGGGCAGGATGGTTAGGCATGTGGATTGGAAAACAAGGGAGAGAAATTTACAAAACATTCACTTGGGAAGAAGATGAAGAGGATAAACCAGAAGCAATATTCGGCAAGCTTGAAAATTATGTAAGACCCAGAAAAAACAAACGTGCACAAAGATTTAATCTCCAGAAAAGGAAGCAGGAGGAAGGTGAGACATTTGACAATTTTGTAAAAGACATCAGATTGATTCTTATGGATTGTGAGTACCAAGACGCTGAAGACATTTTAATTGACTGTATAATACGTGGGGTGTACTATCCTCGAGTTCAAGAGAAACTGTTAGAAAAAGGGGAAAGACTTACTCTAGCTCAAGCATTAGAAATAGGCAGACAGTATGAGTCATCCCAGCAACAAATGAAGATTTTAAGACCAGAAGTTGAAGTTTCCGCCATTAATCACAAGTCACATAAGAGTAAGGAAAGCCATGCTAG